ATATATATATGCATGCTATTATTCGCACTTGAAAAGAATCATAGTTTAACGAAAAGGAATAGTTTATTAATTACTATATTGTAAAATAATATTGCAAATAATGGAAATAATTACAATACAGTGAAATAAATTTTAAAAAAACATTTATTTTTGCTTAAAATAATTTTTAACTCTTGTTCATCGCCCCGGTTTGACCCCCGGATCTCGGGATCAGCAATTTCTTGCTTCCTATCACTTTAACTTTAACGACCAAACTAAGCCATGCAGCTCGACAAATAACAAGCTTTAAGTACTTTCCAGCGTTTTTTTTCAATGGAACCATATTTTGCCTCATTGAAGGTGCTCCTAATTTGTCTATAAATATTTCCTGTGGTACGTTAGTGTTGCTACGATATATATCCGGCCGAGTTTGAAAATTACAGGTTAATATTAAGGAGAGATATGAGGTTATATATATGTACAGTATATGTGCAATAAATTCTCCATTCTAACGCTATTATACGCACTTAGAAAAAATAATAATAATAATTTAGGGAAAATGAATATTTTATTTACGTTACAATATTGTTAAATAAATATTAAAAAAAACTTTATTTTTGTTAAATATAATTTTTAAATATTGACAATGAATAAGGTTTGTCCACTGGATCTTCGGGATACAAGATTATTATTTGATTTTCTGGCAATGGCTGTTCAAAAACATTTGTTTTCTTCCGCAATTTATTGTAGGTCTCTCAAACATCTGAAAGCTTTAAATTTTATTGCTAAGTACGTAAAATCGAATGAACTAACCATCTTTAAAATTTCAAAGTAGTCTGTTATATATTTCCTGAGAAATTTAAAAAAATGTCAAAAACTTAAAGTGACTCTTCCATCATTACATTGTAGTGTATTTTACAACTATATATTATTATACCAACGATAATAATTATGGACAAATAAGGAGGCTCACAATGGAGCATAATATCGTTCCCGCGACAAAGCGCAGGAAATTTTTAAAAGGCTATACATAGTAGCGTAAATAAAATATTCATTTTCTTAATGTTATTATTATTTATTTATTTATTTATTTTTATTTTTTTTTTTTTTGCTAGAGCGCTTATAAGAAAAGCGTTAAAATACGGAAATTGTTCATCATATACTGTAAGTATAATACCCCGTATTTCCCCTGAATGTTTACCTATAATTTTTTAATCTCCGAAAAATATTATATTATAACATAATATCTTATCATACTAAAGGAAATAATTATAGACAAATCAGGCTGCGCACATTGGGGCATATTACGGTTCCCACGTCATTTTTAGAATTTAGGAGAAATTTAGAAGAAATTTCTTGAAAGCAACTCCTTATTATTCCGTCTTTTAACAATTATTTTTATAATATATTACATTTTAAAAAGAAATTTATAATTTAATTCTACGATTTTAATTAGATTCATGTTATTAAGTAGTATACATGTTTGTTTTTTTTTGTGAAGAAGGAAGGTTGTATTGGAAGGTTTTGAGGTTGTATTCGTTATATTAGTTTGATCTCTCCCAAAGAAAAATAATTTTTTGTGAGGCCACTTCCTCAATTTAGACAGAGTCATAAGTAGATAGATAGGTACTTGTACTTTATTTACGTCGCACTTTAGCAGCACAAATGGGCTATTGGCGACTGTCTGGGAAACATCCCCGAGGATGATCCGAAGACACGCCATCGTAATTTTAATCCTATGCAGAGGAGATTTCTCCCCTGCTTTCATAGCCCAAGGACCTGAGCGCGAAGTCGAGCACTTTACGGTAGAACAGTTTAACGAGGACTGATACCGCGCATGCTCGGTCCCTACGCATTCTGATCACAGTGGTCACCCACCCGCTGACGACATAGTCAAATGGTTCAGTCGATTCAACGACGAACCGCAAGGCTTCTCACAGATTTTACAAGCATGTATATTTTACTTGCATAATTTGCGTATTGGCGAACGAAATGGGCTACAGGTGGCATAAAGCAGAAATCTCTACCTATGGCAACACTTCGCATGCTTTCAACAATAGCGGAGATAGTCATAGGAGGAGTTACGTTAGTATCAGTCTTGATTTACAATGAGATTAAAAACTTTTAAGTTGGGTAATTATATGAAGCTGAAGACTACATTGAACATAGTTCCAAATGAAAAAATCAGTTTTTACGCAAAAAAAAAGAAGAAAAAAAATCGCCTCCTGTATGAATGGCTCTTTCGACGGGACTGATAATGTTTGGGATCTATATGCAAGAACTGTTTGCGTATGCGTGAACCTTATTTACATGGGCTTGCATATGCGATTTGCCTGCAGTCAACGAGTAATATTGTAGTGAGAATGCTTTCTTTTTCTTCCTTCCTGCTAGACGCTCACTTTACCCAATGTTCGGGCCAACTCCTGATTTCTACCATATTCCACTTATAGAAAAATATTGATTAGAACTAATTCGAATTATAAGGAAAAAAACATATTTATATGATTTTAGTTTCACGATTTCTAATTATTTTCTTTCTGAGTTATATTGACACAAATGGCAATAGAATATCAGATTGTTCTGAATTTTTATTGTTTTTATGGAATAAAGAAATGGAAACGTAACGCTTACAAAAGCTGGTTGTGTCATGCTGGATGCGCCGCACCCAGCTGTTTAAAATCGCGTACAATGTAAACAATGAAGTTGAAATAATAAAATCTATCTTCTGTGAGTTTGTTAAATGTGTTGGGTTTGCTAATATATGCACTAAATTAAAAAAAAATCCTTGGCAATAATTTTTTTTCTTCTTTTTATCAATTTAGATATGCAAGCTGATAACTTTCCGTCATGCTCAGTATTTTTTAAACAAAATTTCCTTATGAAAGTTGATTTTTGACGTTTAACCTGTTACTGGAAGCAAGAACGAATGTAATCGCTGATTTAATTTTCCTTCTAAATTTAGTTCTTACCTTGTCTTTTGCAAGAACTAATTTTATTATTCAATAAAATTTCCTCTCTCTATCATTAGTAATTCTTAAACTTAAGTGTGTATATGTGGATTCAATGTTCTGATATAGGATTAACGTCCAAGAAATTCCATTTGCACTTTCATTTCTGATTAATATGAGAATTAAAAAGGTTCCCCATTTATATATTTTATAAATTCTATACAATAATATGTAAAAAGTAATATGAAACAACTGGATTTGAATATTTGTGTTAACTCGGAGAGAAATTAGTTGTGTCTAAGGAAGGGAAAGAAAATTTATTTAGCTTTGTTGTCTGCAGAAATTTATTTTAAAATGCTTTTTTTTGTGTGTGTGTGTATTTTCTAATGCTTTGATGTTTGTGGTTTCAAGTTATTGTGACTTCCAAATAGGATCCTTATCTACTTCATATGATTCCTGTGGATATCAAATTTTGTTGTTTAAAGAAAGATTAAAAACGCATTAAACAAAACCAAATCTTCTACCGAAAGCATTTTTACAAAAATCTTAAGTTATTAAATTTAATCATATATGTTTCAGCGTGATAATTTTAATTATTTACGGTTGAAATAATTCATATTTTTTCCTCACTTATACAGGGTATCTGCACACCTGGAAAGTCATAAATTTCTGCTTTGAAAGAAATTTGTCATGATTTTAACTATTTTTTTAAAAAAAGTCATGAATTTAGTTCGCTGAAAAATCTACTTTTTAAAATGGAATTTAACCCCCCCCCCCTCCAAATTTCATTGTGTTCCGAATATCTGAATTTGTAACAAAATCACCACATGCAATCTTATATCATTAAAATATAAAATCTGTTTATCATGTTCTTTAAAAATCATGGTGTTCTTTCAAAAAAGGAAGAAAAAAAATTACATTTCTAGAGTGAATTATCTTTTAAACTACTGTGATTTTAGAATTTTTATTATTTATTTTTTTATCAGTTTAAAATTCTAGCGATTTTTTTTACATTCCAAAATGAGAACAGAAAAATCAGGAGTATTTCTTTCCTTTCCGATGAACGCGAAAAGTATCTTTAGAATATAATTCTGCAAAAAAAAAGAAATTATTTGCTTTTGTATTTTTTTCAGCTATTATATTACTTCAACTCTTTCTTCACTCTGTTTTTTAATTTTAAAATCTATAAATATGAAGATGCAAAATATATAACATTTTTGATTATACCTATCATTTCAATTAATGCTATTATAATGCTTTTTTAAATTTATTGTTTTGTTTTTGTCGAAGAAAATAGTAACTTCATTGAGTCATGAAAAATTCTTCGAATTAGTCATGAATTTGAAAATCTAAAATGTAGCAGATACCCTGCACTTAGCAATTTATATTTTGTAAAAGATGAATTCTTAGTCACTGATTTAGTTTAATTTCTTCCTATGGACAACTTCTAGTATAGATATTTGTTCTGTACTTGGTATGATGAATGTCATTTCTTCAAAGCGATAAAATATTTTTAATTAAATCAAAAATTATATTTTATTTATCGTTTCCTCAATAAAAATATCAATAAAGTTTTAATCCTTTCAAATATTGATAAATTCATTTCGTTTATATGTTGAGTATTTTATAAATCTTGCCATTTCTATAAAGTATTGAAAATATTTGATAGATGTTCTCAGTTATTAACATAGCTTCTTACAACTTTTAAAAAGCTGTAATATGAGATGAAAGTAATTAATATGAAAGCTATGTCCCGTAAATTCCAATTATCTATGTTGCCCATATGTTTACTTAGAACGCATCAAACATGAAAAAATTATAGTAAAAATAAGTAGCCAATGATGTTAAAAGTAAATCAGTTTTTAAAAATTTAGGTAACCAAGGTAACTAACTAATTATTTCTTGTGAAAATTCTACTTCAACTTGGTTTTGTATTTATTAGAGTATCGAAATTTATAATTAATTTGTAAAAAATGCTCTTTAATTAAAAGTTTCTTGTTTAAAATTTTTAATACTTAATAACTAAACTATAATAACTAAAATATCACATCGATATTTTTATTAAAATGTTGATAATATTCTGTGAATAAATGCTTACATACTTTTTTCTTGCTCAAATTTCAGGTATTTTTTCAATTATTTTTAAAAGTGTTTTTGCACATTTCATTTTCTATTTCATCTGGATTTCTATTTTCAGCTTTTTTTGTTTTTCTTTTACCTTACTCATCCTTCTAGTATGAATCAATGTAAAAGTTCTATGAAAATTTAACATTTTTTAAAAAAATCCGTGATTTTAAAATATTTTCCCCAAAACAAGGTGGCGACAAAAGGGTTTCAACTAATTAGAAGAGTTAATCTATGTGTGCGGAAAGATTTTTAATTGAGATTTTGTGTTCAAAGAAAGTTTTTTATATTGTACAAGTCTGCTATCAGCTGCTTAGAATCTTATATTTTACAAAAATGGTTTATTTTTTATTTGGCTAGGTTATTTTTTATTTTCTGTAACAAATCATTTTCAAGAACAGTTTTCGTTTCTATTACGTTTTCGTTTTAGAAAAAGGAAGAAAAAAATTTCTGCAATAGGTATTTTTATTCTTACATCAGTTTTTTTAAGCGAACAAAAACTAAGCCTGAATATTTATTATAATATTTAGACCTTTTTTTTTATTAAATGTTGATCGTTTTAAACTTTCATTTGTTCATTATTACTGTTTTGAATTGTTTCTTGACCATTATTTTTCCATTTAAAGTAATTCATTACCATTCAAAATTATTCATGAAAAGTTATATTTATTTTGTTTGAATTCTTTCTTGCTTAACCTCTCCTTACCCTTGGGCATGTAAGACTGCAATGTTAATTCTTATCTTGTTTTGCACAGTCAAATTAAATCTCTTGGTTCTCATCCAAAAAATTTATTAATTGTTCATTCTCAATTAAAAAGAAAAAATATCCGATTATATTCACCTCACTAAATGCACACACTAATTACACGGTATTACATTAGTTTTTTGATTCCTGGATGATTTGAGGATATAAATCATTTTTAGCATATCTGATTTGTATAGTTGATTTCACTTAATTTATCAAAGATTCATTTAAACTACTATTTTATTAAAAATATTTCATTAATTATTGATTTGCATAATATTAAAATAGGATTTTTAAAATTAGTACTTGTTTCATAGATGTTAATAATTATTTTATTAAATGATTAATTTTATCATAAATAAACAAGGTTATTAATTTTAGCACTATAAATAAACAAGATCAGATTACATTCACTTCACTAATTACACAGTATTATACTAGTTTTTTTTATTCCTGTATGATTGGAGGTTATAAATCATTTTTAGCATATCTGATTTTTATAGTTGATTTCTCTTAATTTGTCAAAGATTCATTTAAGTAATGCATTATTATTTTATTAAAAATATTTCATTAATTATTGATTTGCATAATATAAAAATAGGATTTTGTATAATATTAAAAAAAAGGAAAATTTGCTTTTGGACTTATAGTCAATGGTTAAATTTAAGATTATCAAGAACATTTGTTAATACAAATACAATTCTGATGTTGCTGTAAGATTGAAACTAATAATTAGTAAATCCTTATTATTTTTTCATTTATTGACATTTTATTTTATTCTTGAATTAAATAGTACCTTATTTTTTATTAAATTTAAAAATTCAAGTTATAGTCAATAATTTAGAAAAAAATAATGTAAAACACACTTTTAAAAATTTTCGAGGGCATTACTTTTGCCTTTTTTCTTTTAAGGAAATATTTTAAGGATTTCATTGATTCAACTTTCTAGCCCTGTTTATCATAAACTGAAGAGGATTGCTTACTAGTATTCAGTATTAGTTTTATATTAAACTAAGGAGAATAGTTTACTAGTACTCAGAAGTATTAATTTTATTATAAACTGGAAAAAAATTGCTTAGTAGCATTTCTCAGATATATCAATTTCTATTTTTGATGCTTATTTATATTACTACTCAGGGGTCTGTTCAGGGCAAATTTACTACCCTTTAGCGGTATACCTTCAAAAATTTAACTTTAGGAAAAACAGTAGTTTCACAAAATAATTTTAAAATGTTCTCATAATGAACTTATAGTGCTAGTACTGTTAAATTCATTTTTTTTTATTAAATTCATGTTAAAATTTGACTATGGACAATGATTTTTAAATTTGGATACAATTTTAAGCCCAAATTTTAACAATAGCAAAATTGTTTTTGAATATATGGGGGAAAATATATAGAAATTTACCAGTTGAATAATTTTTATTGGTAGTAACAATTTTTGAAAATATTTTCTTACTTTACCTTATTTATGTGTTGATTTTTTTAATTTTCTCAAATTATATCTAAATTTTCATAAAATTTTAAAAAACCTAGACAGACCCCTGCTACTAAAATATTTTTCTTATATTTTAAATCTTATGAAAATTTATATTTTACCAATTGTTGTGAAATATATATAGGAAAAAAAAAGTGTATACAATGTTTTGTAGATAAAAGTAGTAAAGTAAGATAATTGTTATCTTATCTAAACTATTCTTGTTTCTCTTTCCAGTTGAAACCACTTGATATGGCAGAAAATAAATCTGCTCCTGAGCCTGAGATGAAGGGCTGGCTTTACAAATGGACAAATTATTTAAAGGGTTATCAAAAGCGTTGGTTTGTTCTTTATAATGGACTCTTATCATATTATAGGTAAACATATTTATTATTACTACTTTTGATTGGTTTCCTCTTCTTGTAATGCCTTCGAAGAACATTATAGGCACATATTATTAAATTAATATTATATAAAGAAGGATTGCCATGTCGTTGAAAGAAAAACTATTTGTTCCAAAATACTGGAAAAACCGAAAGAAACTAGACAAAATGAACTAAAAATTAAAATTGACTAATACAATTGTTTAGCAATAAGTATTATAAGAATAGCTTAAATTTAAACGAAGTTATAACTAATGTATTAAAAAAAATGTAAAAGTTTTTCGCTCTAATTTTTTTCTTGTAATTAACCTTTTTCATATTATTTTAATTTTACGTAGAATTTTAAAATCTATGAATTATTCTATTTAAGAGTCTATGTAAACATTCATGTTTAACAGTATTTGATTATAGATATTGGTATACCATTTGTAATTGTGACTTCAATAGTGATTTGAAGTGATTTATAGTAGTTGTATTTGTGAATTAGTATTAGTAAATTGTCATAATGTTATTTTAACAGCTCTTTATATCATTATAAAGTGCAATTTTACTGTGTGTTACTACTTGTTAACATGTTGAGCATGTTAAAAAATGTGAAAAGAGCAAAAAATGTTATTAATAATATGCTTAAGATATTGTGGTGCAAAAAGCAGACTTTATTAATGCAAATTTGTGTTGTGGTCATTAAAAAAAAATAAGAAAAGTTAAAAATTAATCTTTGTATGATAGTTTTATAAGTATGATAGTTAAAACAAGGGATAACATAAAGTTATTCTTTCCAAACGCCAGTGAAAAGATACGCCATTTTTTTACTCTTTTTTTTGGATGTAAATTCAGCAACCATTGATGCAATCGCACAAATGCGTGTGCAGTCCCACAAGCCAACAATAAAACTACCAAGCAAAACTTGGCTAACTTCCAATCGCAGCAGATTTTTTTTTGCTTCGAGCCGAGGAAAAATGTGATAATACAAAACGTACTGACAAATTCTGCAACGCCCCAGTTTTCTCGGGGTAATAAATATTTGCAATATATACATACCTAAGTTACCTCTGGCTAATCAGAGAAGCCGTTATTTTTAAAATATCGTAGTCAAATTTTATTAACACACTTAACAAATTGCATACTAAACTTATTCACTACTACAAATCTCATATTAAGTTCAATTCACAATTATAAACATAGATATTGAATTTCAAAATTAAATACTGCTAGAGAAGAATACTAAAACTTACTCTTAAATTATGTAACATATAGATTTTAAAATTCTATGGGAAGCTAAAATGGATTATTTAAAAAAATTTATTTATTTTTTACTTTTTGGTGCTACTTTATATTTATCTCGCTTAAATTTAAACTATTGTTATAAATTTTTATTTCTCAAAAATTCTATTAGTTTTTTTTTTTTTTTTTTAAAGTTTTTTCCAAATAAAATTCTAAACTTAATTCTTAAAGATGCTAACAAAAAAGTTGTTTTAAGTACATATCAGATAATCATGAATATTATTTTGGTTTTATTATGTTCACAATAGAAAGCATTTGTCCAAAATGATTATGTAATGCAAGTTTATGATAATATTTGAGAGCCAAAGCTTGAAAAATTTGAATTGCTGTTGTTGTAGTTCATTTACGTAGCACTAGAGCTGCGCAATTGCTGACGGTCTGGGAAACATCCCTGAGGATGATCCGAAGACATGCCATCACAATTTTGATCCTCTGCACAGGGGAGGGCACCCCCACTTCGGTAGCCAGACGACCTGCACATGAAGTTGAGCACTTCACGGTAGAACAGTTTGACGAGGACCATTACCGCACACCCTCGGTCCCTACGAAGACTGATCCAACTGGTCACCCACCCGCACACTGACCACAGCCAGTGATGCTTGACTTCGGTGATCTACTGGGAACCGTGGGAAAAATTTGGAAATTTGGTTGTTAGTACAAATTTCAAAAACTCAACATAATTTCAACGGTAGATAAATTTTAAATAAATTACTTAAGTCTGCATAATTACAATGACAAGAAATGGTTTGCAAAATTTATTAAGAAAACTCGTATAAAAAAAATTATAATCATAATTTTAAAATCCTCTGGTATCAAGAGATAATAACATTTTTTATTAGCAAAAATATTTTGTGAAATGAGTTGGCTTAAAGAGTATTCTTCTGTCAATCTATTAGTTAATGAGTGGGGAATTTAGAATTTTGTGGTTTAACTGTTTATAATAAGCTTTTAATAGGTTGTTTTCAAAATAAATATCTGTGAAAATTTAAAATTTAATAAATTTTTAAGTTAAAGTAACTATGTTCTATTATAGAAATCCTGCTGAAGTTGCTCATACGTGTAGAGGCACAATCAACTTAGTGAGTGCTGTAATACATACTGTGGATTCTAGTAATTTTGTAATATCTAATGGTGGAACACAAACATTCCATTTAAAAGCCTCGAATGAGATTGAGAGGCAGAGATGGGTCACTGCTCTAGAGCTTGCCAAATCAAGAGCTATTAGGATGACTGAATCAGGTACAACACTTTTTTTTGTTACTTTTAACCAGGGTGTAGAATACATCCAAACAATGCTCTGGGGAAATTTTTGGTCTATTTAAGTAAAACTGCGAAATTTTTTGTGTAGAAACGTTATCGCTTTGCAAATTATAATTGTCAAATATTACTATTTCAATAAATTAATATTATTACAATAATAATTTATTGATCTATAATTCTAAAATATTACCATTTTAATAAATTTTGAATTCTATTATTATTCTTTACTCTTATACTAGTTTATTCAATAATCGAGTAAAGTCAAGTGAATTTTTGTTCTTTGTTGAAATTAGAAATTATTATTATTTCAATACATTTTGATTATTTTTAACACATAGCTATAATACATAATTTTATTTAAAAATTGTGTAAAAATGTTTTTTTTTTGTTTTGTTCTATTTGTTAAAAAGAATATTTTTAGAAAAATTTAACAATACATAAACTTTACTTTCTAAAAATATTTATGAAACTTAGAAAAAAGAGTTTTTTTAAAAATGGAAAATTCTGAATAATAAATAAAGAATTAAAAATTAATTTTAGAGAAATATTGTGTCTGAGAATTTTCTGCATCCCAGCATTTAGCTTCATATGGTTTTCTCATTTTGAATTCATTTTGTCATAACTTTTTTCCCTGTATTTAGTGCTGCCTTTTGTTCTGATGACATTAAGCTGATTTTTTTAATTTAATATGTACACAATGTCAATGCTTTTATGTTTTTAATACAAAAGTGAAATGCAAAAAATATTTCAAATCAAAAAAAAGTTAGCAGAAAATAACAGAACTTTTTCTTTATTTTCCTCGGAAGAACGGATTTTGCTGAATCATTATTGGGAAATAAATTCTTTAATAACCCCACCCTTTTCAGAATCCTTTTCAATTTTTAACATTTTATACCTCTTATCATCATAATAGTAAATCTAACTATGCAATTGTTGAACTCCATATTATGCCTCATATAAAAACCTAAATACCTTTGTGTATACCGTTGCTGCTCCTATTCCAAATAGTATTGCTAGTTTCTTATTGTATAAGTTTATTGTCTGATATAAATATTATTTTCATTTATCTATTTTTGCTAAGGTACAATTTTTTATATTTATTTGTTCATTCAGTTATATACAATGTAGTTTATTTTATGAGCGGAAAAAATTTTACTAATTGAATACCACTTAATTATTTACTGTATTACTTACTGCATTTTATTTTGAATTTTAAAATTACTATGAAAAAGCAACTTTTTAATAAAGGAAGATCATCACACTTTCTGTTTATAATTATAAATTGAATTTATCAACCTTTTAATTATTAACTTGTATTGTTTTTTCTCAAGCGTGTTTACCTTAGTTAAATCTAATTTATTTCTTTTAAAAATACAATTTATAAATTTTAAGTTAAAGTTAATTTAAATTATATTCAATGGGAAAAGTGATTAAGAGGAGGTTTAGGAAGATAATTTTGTTCATTTTTTGCGAATTTTTACAAAAATTTTCGTGCAAGTATAGATTCTATAATTAGCATTAAGAAAAATTTGTTTTCTATGCTGAAAAATCATCAAGTTAGACCATGAACCCAGCTTAATTAATATGGATAAAAAAAATATACAAAACTATTTATTTTTTTAGAAAAACTTTTTTTTTCTGCTCGAGTTTAACTGCTAAAGTGAGTCTGTGTTATTTTAAATAAGCGTATGTGGTTCTTAAATGTTTACATGTTGTAACTCTTCTGAAAAATATATTCATAAAATAATTAATGTGTGTAATTTTAAAAGTTACGTTAATGTCTCTAAAAATAACACAGACCATTACCAATTCCATGTTTTGATGGCTTTTATAATTATTTAAAAAATACAATTATAGAACAAGTTAAGATCAAAATTTTTCTTATTTCTTTAATCTTTTTAGACAATAGGTTGTGCTTGATAGAACCAAAAATGTAAATGGGAACAAGATGCTTTTTGGAATTTTATATTTTATTTAGTAATTTATTTTTATTATTTTTTTTCCTATTATGAGTGTACACATATAGTTTTATTTTATGCATGCACTATGTTTTTATTAATGATTTTGAAATGCAATGCTGTAGCAAAAGAGCCTAATTTAAAAATATTGGAAAGTTTTCAAAATTCATTTTAGATATTATCAATGTATATTATTTTATTTTTATTTTATGTTGCAATATTTATAAGCATTGTTATGCTTTGAACTTCATTGTGTTAAAATGAATCTCGAAAAGCAGTTAATTCTTTATTCAGTTATTAAATCATTAATACTAAGATAAGCCTTTATGTGTATATATGTTTGCAGCCTATTTGACATTTTTAGTCCTATTCATCAATCCATTATTTCAAAATACTTTTTAATTGAAAAAATGCATTGCCTTCAATTTTTCTTACTCCTTTATGTTAAAATTTTTATTTATCCAGTTCAAAACAAAAATAAATGAATAAAATAACATGATTATTTTATTAAGTAATAAACTGATAATTGGTTGTAAATTCAGTAGTACTGCTAATTATTCTTTTTTTCAATGACACTCCAGCCCAGGGTGGGCCACTGCCTTTCTCATAATCGAGTTCCAAGCTGCCCTCTTCTTGTGTCAATTCTTCCTGTTTATAACTTTGAGAACTTTTAAATCTGTTTCTAAACAGTCGATCCACCGCATTTTTGGTTTTCCCCTTTTCGGGCTTCAGGTGGTTTTGCGTCGAAGGTCTTTTTGGTAGCACGGTCTTCATTCATTCTAATTAGGTGTTCTGCCAATTTTAGTATTTGAACTGAGATAAATTTTATTATGTCTGTCTCTTTGTGGATCCTATAAAGTTCTAAATTTGCTTTTCTTCTCCTAGTATCATTATACTTTACACCTCACAAAATACATACTACTTTTCTATTGATCGCTAAAACTTTATCACTTTCAGTCATTGCCCAAGTTTCAGCAGCATTTGTATAACTATGGGCCTGGTTAAAGCTTTGTAGGGCGGTAATTTTATTTTTCCTGCTGATGAATCTAGATTTTAAATATATGTGTACTCAAAAGAGTACTGCCAATTAATGACGTTAAATAATGCTGAAGTATGACATTTTCATATATACTGACAAAGAACTTAATCTTTGACATACATAACTAACACATAAACAATGTTCAAATGTATAAACATATTCAAATTCTTTTGTTTTTTCTTTTGTCATGTTAGTATGTTTATGGATGGAAAGCATGTATTTTTTAATTTTTTATTAAAAATATTCATTAATAGTTATAAAAATTTTCAAGATTATGCTTTACAATAGCTTATTTGCTTTCGATTTAAAGTGTAATGTATTGTTTAACCCTTTGTTTAAAAATACCAAGCTTTTAATTTATTAAAAAAAAAATAATAAATAAATAAAGACGACTTTATGGGAAAAAGTCGAAGAATTTTATTGATCTCTAAAATATCAAAAATAGTAACTAAAAAAATTGAGGGTAAATTAATTACTTTGAGAATGAGGTATCTGAAAGACAGATATTTTGTTTCCAAAAACAATTTTGTCTTTTGATAATTTTCGTATGAAAATATATGTTTATCTTTAACTCAAATGAAAAATATTTATATTTTGTAATATACATTATAAAAATAAGGCATAACTAAAAAATAATAATGAAATTTATTCTGCTGGTCCCAAAATTCTGGAAAATTCAAAGAAAAAAGAACTTTTTGAAAACTTGGGCTACCATCGCTTCTGGGCCATATGATTATTTATTATTTAACAAATCTTCACAAATCTTAAAATTTCAATATTATTCGTTCATCTCTTTCATCTGATTTTAAAAATGATTGATTTCATTTAACAGTGCAGTAATCATACCATAGGAGTTTTAAATGACGAATATCATCATAATGGATCGTTCTTTAAATTGCTTTTGTGCAGAAATGTTGGTCTGCTTTCTACAAATTCTTTAATGCATTTTTCTCTTGGTTTTTGAATCTACTTCTAATTTTTAAAATTTCATAAATATTATTATTCTTATTTTGTTAATATTTCTTTGTGTGTTTTATTTGAATTTTTTCCTTTCTCTAGATGAAGATGAGGAATTTAGTATCTTACCTGCTCAGTCTGATAAGAATGAATTGCAGACTGTTCTGAAGACACTAAATGCCAAGTTAGAAGACCTTAATACCTGTAACGATCTTATCCTGAAACACGGATTTGCCCTTCAGCGGTCTCTCTCCGAAATAGAGAATCTCGAAACGGTTCCTGACGCGGTCAACAAGATAAGAAGCGTGAATGAGAGAGCCACCCTTTTCAGAATCACCTCAAATGCTATGATAAATGTAAGTACCAAACCTGTCTACTGTTTTTTTAACGAAGACTCCTGTATTTCATGACCATCTCCTGTTTATCCGTATATTCTCAAATCTATCCGTATTTCTTAAAGAAATTTAAAAAAAAAAAAAAATTGGTGATAAAATATCCACTGATGGCAAAAATACTTCTCTTATTCCTCAACAGATGATGCTATTGCCAGTACTGCAGTATTTTGAGTGTTAATTGTTAAAATCAAGCCGTGATGGCTCAGGGGATAGATTGTTCGCCTTCCAATGAGGTGAACCCAGGTTCAAATCCCAGCGATGAGTGGTCGATACGAATTCTGCATCCAGCTTGCACTGACCACAGTGCTGACATAAAATATCCTCAGTGGTAGACAGATTATGGGCTAGAATCTCCTTGTCGTCAGACTAATCGTGGAAGGTTTTCATTTTTTTTCCTCTTCGTGTATTTTAACTGTGGGTTAATTCCATAAAAAAAGTCCTCCACAAAGGTAAATTTTTCCCAATACTTGATCAATGAGTTCATAATCCATGAGTCTTTTGGATTGGGTTCAAAATTACAAGGCTACGGAGTTGAACATCAGTAGTCGTAATCCCAAAATTGGGTCCATTAGTAAAATCTCCGTTATTTTATTTCTCCAATGTTGGCAGGTATACAATCATGTTACAAACTCTTAAATAGGCATGCACTTTTCCACGAGTCCCCAGAATTCGGCTCTCATCGTCCAATTTCTATCTTAAACTCTTTTAACAGTAAGTCACTTATGAATTCTAAAAGTACAAAGATTTTATTTGTTGAACTGAGGAACTATCCCCAAAGTATGTGAAGTATCTTATCTATTTTGCTGCATATTATTCTTGAATAATATTATATTAAAATCAATTACCAGAAATTTTCTGATTATTAAATTTCATAAGGATAGTAAAACTTCATAATTTATGTACTTATTTACTATTTATAGAAAATAAAATAAAATCTTGTATGATAGAGAAGTCTTTTTCAAAAATTTTAAATTTTTTCTTTTATTAGTTTATTTAAAATGATTTTAATCCAATTAAAAATTCACAGAAATTTTTAAAATGGGGAACTAAGGAGTAATTTATTTAAATCAATTTTTTAAAAAAAGTTTTAGTTGCATTCAAATCTAGTGTAACTCTAGATAAAATAGGAAACCAAATTCCAATTTTCAAAAGGAATATTAAATCTTTAGATTGATTCTGTAATCTCATTAATATAAATTCATCATTATGAAATGAATAAACATATATTTTAAGGAATAAATATTTTGTTTGTTAAACGTAAATGTTGCGTTGCATTCAAAGTGGGTATCAAAGAATTTTACTGGTTTTTAAACTTTTCAAAATATTTTCTTCTGACATTTAATGAATTAAAATCAAGGCTATTATAAATAGCTTAAAATTAAGGCGATCCTAGTAAACAAGTTATCACAAATTTTTAAGTGGTTTCAAATATGATTTGTACAACATATGAAAGACTTGCAGCAAAATACAGTACGATACCTTATTTCTAAGATGACATTATTTATGTTGCATTGTTTCAAAGTAGGTACTGTGCAAGTTTTTTTCTCTTTGTGTTATAATTGCTTAGTGTCCACTAGATATATATCAATGTCAGGGAGGAAATTAGCTCTTTTTTTTCGTTTGAATTCACAGTAATTAAAACCTTATAGAAGTATCCTCCACAAAATTCCTGACTTCTGAAATTGACATTTCAAAGTCTTGGTTTAGAATATGACCCTTTCACAAAACCCATTTTTCTACAATGTCCGATTATATATTATTTTGTATGTCACAGATTTGTGTGTGTGTATATATATATATATTTCAATTTTACCTTAATTTGCTCTTTCATATTTTGTAATCTGGCAATTTTGTTACTAAAATATTTTAAATCATTCTTGAAAAATATCCCGTTCATGTAAGTTCATTTGAATTCCCTACTCGCTTTATAGATTTCGTTTTATGTTTTGTTCTGTTTTTTCTTTACATTTTATTTTCTGTTTTTACGTGATATTTTTACTTAATGTGTTCTATTTGTTTCAACAAAAAAAAATTTTTTTTGAGTGCTCCTCACACTATTGTATTGATATATTTTGATTTTGGCTGTATTGATACATTATTAGAAAGTACTCCTTTTTACAGATATAATCTTATGAGCTGATGAAAAGATTATATCTTTTATTTTCCACGTTTTTATTAATTTTTATTAGTTTTATTATTTTTATTATTATTTTTTACTTTTTCCCTTTTTTTCACTGTTTTGTAATTTTTTCCATGTTTTGCTTAATTTTCTTGTTTTTTTTTTCTTTCTGCCCTTTTTGTAATTATATATATATATATATATATAAATATATATATATATATGTNATTGTTACTTCTATTTCATTTTTTTCATGTATATATATATATATATATATTAATAATTCATTCTTAAAAGAATCCAACTTTTATTTGAATGATTTTTATTTGTTTTAGGCTTGCCATGAGTATATGCAACTAGCTCAAAACCAAGGTCGTAAATGGCAGAAAATGCTGCAGCATGAGCACGAGCAGAGGCTGCGATTGGAAGAAATGGTAGAGCAATTGGCGAAACAACACTCCCATTTAGAGAGAGCTGCAAAAGAGGCGTCATCCAATTCACCAGGTGAGACACTGAACGCTTTTTCCCAATAAATACTTTCACATATTATTGAGCTTTAAACTTTAGAAAAAAATGTCTCGAATAAAAAAAAAATTGCTTGTTTTTTTTTGTTTAATTCATTTACCTTTGTGCAAATCCATTATTTAGGAATGTCATATTTTCAGATTTTAGTAGCACATAACTCAGTTAAAAAAAAATTGAGCTGTTCTACTAAGTTTTGTTACAATAATTCTTAGTGTCATATACACTTACTACAATTGTTAGCAACTTTCATAAGTTCAAAATATTTTCAAAAATTAAAAACTGTGTTATTTATGAATATTAGTAACAGCCAGTTTTGAAAAAAATTATTAAATTAATCGTTTTAAAAATTTAAAATACAAATATTGTAATTTCTAAAAGTTTCTGAAAATTGGTGTAAGAAAAAACTGCTTGAGACTTATTTTCACAAAATTATTTGAATTGTTTAATTTTTTTTTAATGGATGCATATTAATATTTTTTATAATTCTGTGCATTTCCTACAAAAAAAACGTGATTTAATAAATTTTGAAGGAAATGCTTTATATTTTAATGACCTTGCGATTAAAGAATAGATTCTATCAGTCATTTAAGTTGGTAACTATGCTATTGCATTTAAAAATGCGTAATTCTTATAATTTTCGTGGAAATTCTTTTAAGTGTTTGTATCTTGATAAATTAAAAGGGTGTAAGCAAACGCAGAACGTAATTTTTGTTAAATCCTTACAGCTGCTAGCATTTGCAGAAGATAATATCGTGGGAAGAACTAGAGCAGTTATAGTAGAGGCTTTCTGTGAACTTGAGGCAGTAGCAAAAAACTTAGAATTGTCAGTCAACAATGAAAAAACTAAATTCATGGCAATATCAAACAGGATCAAATCTACAACCACTGAATATGGCTCAATTTAAATATTTCTGTACAATTGTAAACAATGATAATGACATAAAAGCTAAAATCAAAAGTAGAATCAACATAGCTAATAGATTTTATCACGGATTGAGAAACCAAGTCAAATCTAAATACATAATTTGTGAAACAAAAATATAGTTGTACAAGACACTAGTGAGACCAATAGTTTTATATAGCAGCGATTACTGGACAATTAACAAACCAGGTGACTGATAACTTTCGAGAAAAAAGTATTAAGACAATTTTTTGGTGCAGTAAGAGAAAACAGAACCTGGAGAATTTGTTGCAACCATAAATTACAATTGAAATACAAAGAACCTAACATGATGTGCAGGGAAATCGCAGTGAATTTTTTTTTCAGATTTGAGTGGCAACCCTAACCCGTATAAAAAATATATATTACCCTTAAAGGGTATCTGCGCACCTGGAAAGTCATGAAAAATCATAGAAAGTAATTCCGGTATTGAACAAAATTTGTCATGATTAGAACTATTTTTTTAAAAAAATCATGGAAAGTCATGGATTTAGGTCGCTGAAAAATCTAATTTTTAAAATTGAATTTAAAAATACCCCCCGAATATCTGAATTTGTAATAAATTCCCCACTCACAGTCATATTTTATTAAAATATAAAATGTTTTTATCATGTTCTTTAAAAGTTATGGTGTTATTTCAAAAAATGAAAGAAGAAACATTTCTAGAGTGAATTATCTTTTAAACTTCTGTGATTTCAAAATTTTTGTTATTATTTGTTTTTATTTTATCAATTTAAAATTCTAGCTGTAGCAAGCCAGTCATTGGCGATTTTTTTTTTTAATTCCGAAATGTGAGCAGAAAAATCAGGAGTATTTCTTTCCTTTCTGAAGAACAAGAAAAATATCTTTAGAATGTAATTCTGGGAAAAAAAATTATTTGCTTTTGTGTTTTTTTCAGCTATTTTATGGCTTCAATTCTTTCTTTACTCTCCTTTTTTAAATTTCTTGTTGTGTTTTTGTCAGAGAAAATAGTAACTTTGTTAAGTCATGAAAAATTCTAGGAATTAGTCATGGAAAGTCAAAAAAAGTCATGAATTTGAAAATCTAAAATGTAGCAGATACCCTGCCCTTTTTTTTTTATTGCATTTTAAGTAAAATCTATCTTCTCAGAAATGATTTTCATGTGTCTGAAGTCTCCTGTCAAAAAAATGAAAAATTGTCACGGACCATTGGTTATGTGGCTCTGCTGCATAATGATGATCTCTTTGAGTGAAATGAAGGAAAGAGGAAGAATGGGAATTTCCTCCATCATTGTCCTTGCAATCATTTTTCCTCAGCAGTTTTAATGCTGATCATTCCTTTTATGAAGGAAAAAGCCCTTCAATTGTTACTTCTATTTCATTTTTTTCATGTGGACATCATTAATGTATTCACAATAATACACTTATAGATGCTGATGGTATTAATGGAGGTTTTGACATTCATGTAATTTCTTACTCCTCCTCCTACCTTTTGTCCCTGGAATGACTGGTTAGAAAACTATAGATTTTTGGAAGTTCTCTAAGTATAATGTGCATACATATTTTATTTATTTATTTATTTATTGGAGGAGGAGAAGGGGGTGATGATGTAATCGATTTTGATTTTGCTTTAGATATAGAATTTAATTAATGAACTCTGTTTTAAATTTTATATTGATTAATTTGTAAAATATAATTAATTCAACTAGTTTTTAAGTTTGATTCTGCATTATAACTAATTCATCTGGATATTATCCTGGATTCTTTTGTAGATTATTATTAATTGAAGACTCTGATTTCATTTTGTTTGTAAAATATAATTATTTCAACTAAATTTTAAATTTGATTCTGCTTTATTCATTAATTGTAATTAATTTGCAACGATTTTTTTTCTTTTTTTGTGAATTGTAATTGGTCTCTAATTTTACTTTTTGTTTGTTTATTTGTAAAATATAATTAATTCAACTAGTTTCTAAGTTTTATTTTGCAGTATAACTAATTAATCTGGATATTATCTTGGATTCTTTTGTAAATTATAATTAATTGAAGTCTAATTTAATTCTGATTTTATTTTATTTGTAGAATATAATTAATAAGTATAATGAATTTTAGGTATGCATTCTGATGATGATGAGTTTTATGATGCAGAAGAAGAAACAGGCTCAGATTTCCTCATCACCATTCCAGGAAAAGGTCATAGGTAATATGAAATTCGAAATGGGGATTCTGTTGTTATTCTTTATTAAACTTAAAAAATTAATTACAGAAAATAATGAAAGAGGTTATTTGTTTTCTAAAGACATGGAAATTTTTTAGCTTCAAATTGAAAAGAAGCTCCGAGTTTGATAAGTTTAATCAATGCCAAAATAGCTGCATTAAATAGATTTGTGATAAAATAGTTGTAACTGCTAAAAACTCTTTTTTTTCTTTTCTATTTTTAATTTGGAGCAGGAATATAAATTGAATACTCCAGCAGAATTCCTTCGAGTAGAGACTATATTTTAAAAGTAGTTTGTAATCAATACCTTTAAAAAGTAGTTGTAGTTTAATAGATTAGTGATAAAATAGTTGTAACTATAAGAAAAAAAAGAATTTCTTTTTTTAATTTTGTCCATGAATATAAATTGAGTACTTCAGCAAATTCTTCCAAGTAGTGATTATATTTTAAAAGTAGTTTGTAATCAATACCTATAAAAATAGTTGTAGTTTTGTGATGAAATAGTTGTAACAAATGTAAGAAGTAACTCTATTGCTCTTTATTTATTTGTCTTTTTTTGAATGCCAAACTATTCCTAGCTGTCTAATAATCATCTACTTTTAGGCGAACATTGAGTGGTCTCAGTTTACAAAGTGAAGGTCAAGGCTTTCAGGATGGGGCTTCTTCAGACACAGATCCTGAGGGAGCCAATGGAGTTAAAGGAGATGACATCATTGCTCGAAGAAAAAAAACCAGGCGTGCAAGAGTATGTGTTTATTAGAAATTAAGCATTTGTAGGAATACAAACATCACTTCATTTGTTGCAGACTATATTTTACATTGGTTGATGAATTTTTTTTCTTTTTCCCTAAACAATTTATAAACCCTCAGATGGTCATAAAAAATGGCAAAAATAGCCATACCATATAGAAATAAAGAATTTAATAGGGGATAAAAGAAAGTATAAGTCTCATTTAAGAACTTCACTTTCCTCTGTTAAATAATATGTGCAGATCATAAATAAATGAAATAATAAAGAGTAAGGGTAAATAAATAAATAAAAAATTGCAAAGATTAAACAAATGAATTCAATTTATCTGATTCAAATTATTATTTTTTTTTAAATGCTTGAAGAACTTTAGTTTTTAATTTGTTAAATTTTATAAATAATATTTTAATTTAATTATGATTAAAAGTAAATCATGAAACTATGTTTGAAAATATATTATTGCTTAAAAAATTGTTCCCTATTTTAGTAGTACATAGTGCATGTAATTAAATGACTCAAAGCTATTGAAAGTGAACTAGAAATGTGTCTTTAGTTATTGAAAAGCTAAAATTTCAATATAGAGCAACTTACCTATTTATTAAAAATAAATAAAAAATAAAGTAAAGATCAGCCTATTAGAAAGGGACAATATGCAATTTTATGTGGGTTTTTTTAATGCCATATTGGGATAATTTTCTTTTAATACTGTGTGTACTTCAGAAATATAGCTTTTATTTAGATATATAAGTATAAAAACAACTGCATTAAATTTCATCTTTCTGTTTTGTTTGCAATCTAAAAAAAAATCTAATCAAATTAAAAGATTTTTAAAATATCATTTAAAAAGCACTCTGATTTGTTACACACTAAGTGTTGATGTAATTTTACTACTTAAGGCTTACTAACACTGCAATAAGTTTAAAATAAATTTTAAAACTATACAAAAATCAAGCAATGTTTAAAATCACAAATGGTAATATTTTTATTAAACCTGTTTCTTTTTTTTTCGTTCAAGTTTTTTTTTTTATTTGTGTTAATTTTAAGATCATTAAAATGGAATATCGAGTTAAGAGAAATGAACATTTTGACTTTTAATCAAGATTATAAGGCAGTAAAAGCTATTTGTGACAATTGTGCTGTGCATGGAGAAAGTGTCACAGCTGAAAAAACTGCTCCTGATTGGTATGGCAATTTTGACCTTAGAGAAACACTTGGTACTGGCCAGCCAGTTGAGTTTAATGAGGAGTGGTTAAACCAACTTTTGCGTGACAAATTTGTACCTAACTACCAGGGAACTTGCAAGGAAAATAAAATTTTCCCACACTTCAAGTTTTTTTTAAACAAATATTTAATTTACGGAACCTTAGTTACTTACCAAATATATTATTTTATTTAATGCTGCATTACCTTGAAAATATTGTTAAAAAGCTCCAATAAAATTAAAATAAAAGAATTTATTTTATTTATTATTAAACCCTTAGTGATAGTTAGTACTAAACATAGTACTTTAACTGTTTATGTTATTCTTTTTTTTTTTATATATAACTCTGTTTTCAAATATTTTTTTAGTGCTAAGTTGAATGCATTTTTATGTAAATGCATTCTGGCAGAAAATACAAATTCAAGATCTGCATCTTAAAAAGCATATGATATCTACAGGGTTCCCATGGGTCAGGGAAAACCTGGAATTGTCAGGGAATTTTATTTTAACTCCAAAAATCAGGGAATAGTCAGGGAACGTTGCAAAAACCTGGAATATTCTTATTTCATACCTGGAAAATTACCAGTCTTAAAATTGTCAGTAACAGTAATCAGTTATTGAGATACGAGTTGAATAATTCTAGCATCTATTACAATTATTTGTTGTAAAAATTTTGCATTTTAGTCGAATTGAAATGTTCCCTTCCACATTTAATATTTTTTGCACAGAAAATCTAATTTTTCACATTATAAATATTAAAAAAATCAAAGTTTTCTGATGAAAATATGGTTTCATTTCTCATTGAAATTTACCTGGTATACCTGAAAAAGTCAGTGAATTTTTTTTATGAAATTGAGTTTAAACCATGTATCTATTGTTTGCCTTTTTTTATCACTTACATTTGCATTGATTAAAAAAATGTTTTTTTTTTTTATTGTTTGTTAGCTATTATGTTTCTTTAAAATTATTTTAGACTGCTTTCACTAATCAAAATCTCTTTAAATGTGTGACAAATCTAATTGTTGGTTTCATTCATTCAGAATGATGTCTTTTCTTTTCTTAGACTTTGGCGGAACAAGGTAAAGTGCACTCTGTATGTGTCTCAAAGTTTGGTGAGGATAATACTTCGGATTCAGAGCCCAAGTCTTCTAGTGCCCCTAATACTCCCAGCCATGGTGGCTATAATAATAATTCAGAAAAATCTTTAGTGCCTGTTAAGAAAAGAAGAACAATAATCCCTGAGAAACCCAATTACAGTCTTAATCTGTGGTCAATCATGAAGAACTGTATTGGAAAAGAGCTCACCAAAATACCTATGCCTGTAAGTATCTCTTATACTTTCTGCATGTCACCAATAGAAGTATTTAAATAGAACTTAAAACACGTTAAAAATCAATGATATAATAGAAGTCATTAAGGAACTGTTACACTTTGTTGACTCCATATATAGTGTGCAAAATATAATACAAAAATTTTGATCTAGTAATGAGATCTTCACATATCCAATCAAAGTATTAAATTGATTTAAACAAATTGCAAACTGTATCATTTGCTATTCATATTATTTTGGTTTACGAAACATATGTTGCATTTCATATTGCAAGTCATTGTTATACGTAATTTACAGGATTTTCAAGGCTTGCTTAACGTTTCATCACAACAATTTTGAAACAAAGGCTATTTAACAAATTGTTTTGCCTATGAAAGGAATTTGATTGCTCCTTTGAAAACTAACTAAACTTATGTCAAGTTGCTGAAAATGTTTAAAGGCATTTGCTCTACATAAATTTAAAAAATTCTGATTGACAATCATAAAATACACTCAATAACAAAAAAAATCGGCGCTCGATCAGGCTGGAATGATGCCGACTGGGAACATATAGTCTTTAGCGACGAATCCCGCTTCCAACTGTTTCCTGACAATCATTGGAGACGCACAGGTCAGAGGGGGATCCTGCCTTCACTGTTGCACGCCACACCGGCCCTCAACAAGGCATTATGGTCTGGGGTGCCATTTCCTTTGACAGCCGGACCCCTTTGGTCGTCATTAGAGATACACTTACTGCACAGCGGTACGTCGACGACATCCTAAGACCTGTTTTGCTACCGTTCCTTTTGGAACGCCCTGGGCTTGTTTTTCAGCAGGACAATGCCAGACCACATACGGCACGTGTTGCTATGAACTGTCTGCAAGCTTGTCAAACTCTTCCTTGGCCTGCCAGATCACCAGATCTCTCTCCCATCGAGCATGTCTGGGATATGATGGGAAGGCGATTGCATCTGGCACGGAATGTTGATGACCTCGTTCGACAATTGGATCGAATTTGGCAGGAAATACCGCAAGAGACCATCCCTGAGCTTTATCAGTCTATGTCACGCTGTGTGGCAGCTTGTATCCAGGCTAGAGGCAGGTCAACACTTCATTGAACTTGTTACTGTAACTCTGCAATGAATTATTCAATTGTTCTGAAATTTTAATCATTTACTATTCTGTACATTGTCTTCCTATCCACCAATTTTCGTTTCAATCGGGTAAGTCCTTCTTGGTGCGTCGGTTTTTTGTTACAGAGTGTATTACAGTGCAAAAATGTTTGGAAAAGCTAACACATAGTTTTTCTTTTCCAATGAAATAAAAAATTCGTCTGCGGAAAAGAAAAAAAAACATTTTTTTGAACACTAATTAATAATTTACAATTTATTCACTGAACAATATTTGTTTTAAAAGTTTTATGATTAACGAAAGTGTTTGTAAATATTTCAAACTTGTGAATAAAATTAATATTTTACTTCTAGTCAAATTTTATTAATTTTTTTTTTTTTTAATTTCATAAACTTTTCTTAAACAATGCTAGGAAGTAGGGGATGTTATAGAAATCATTTGTGGGTCACATGGGCCCCTAAGTCATAGATTGAACACCCTTCATTTAGATTAAGTCACTGTAATTTATTTTAGTGTTTCTATAATACCCTGAACAAAAAGAGATACTAAATTAGATTAATGTTGTTGTTGTTGTTGTAGGTTAATTTTAATGAACCTTTGTCCACACTTCAACGCCTTACAGAGGAGTATGAATATTCTGAACTTTTAGATAAAGCTGCTCAGTGCTCTGATAGTTGTGAACAAATGGCCTACATAGCTGCCTACACTATATCCTCCTATGCTACTACAAGCAACAGAACTGGTAAACCATTTAATCCTCTTCTCGGGGAATCCTACGAATGTGATCGCACAGATGACTACGGCTGGCGCTGCATATCAGAGCAGGTATTCCTCTATCCTTTGATTCTATGTTCCCTAAAATTTCAGTTTTTAATTATATTATTTATAAAAAAAATTGTATTGCAATTAATTTTTTTTTATTCTATTGTTTGTTTAAGTCAGTTTATTATCGCCAATTTTAAATTTCTGCTTTTAAACGTGGTGCGTATCATTTTTAAAAAGTGCTTCTTTTCGATTTTCGTCTTTTAAAAGCCCTTAAAGGTGCTTTTAAAAAGTGCTTGATTTTTTCTTTTCGAAAATTAGATTTTTGTTCTTTACCCTGTCGGTTTTCGGCACGTAATATGCAAAAGCGTGCTTTTCGCATTATTCTGTTCAACATTTTCACGATTCATTCAACCACAATCTATTTCGGCCTTCCGTCGGTCCATAGCGTATGAAAGCGGCAATCAGTTTACAGGTTTGATGAAATACTTGCGAGTCCGCGTGTACGTCTACTGAGCTGAGTTTGGTAAGATTCTAGCACTCTCATATGTAACGCTGCTGCATTTTGCTAGATATGCTCAATTACTTCATTTCCACCCTCATTTTTCGAACTGAAAAATCTCTCCATCTTTTTATAATGGCTAATATAATCAAGAAAAGAGTTCTTTGTCAGAAACTAGTTATTTTATTGTGATCATGTAAAGTCTTTGAAAATTATTTTGCATTTTCTTAATGTATATAGTGCTTAAAAAGTACTTAAAAGGTGCTTATTTTTCATTGAAAGATTTGGCCACGCACCCTATTAAATAAAATAACACTTATAAAAACACTTTTCAGGTAAATTGGATTAAATTGTAATTCATTAACAACATAATTAATATCTGATAGTTCAAATGTTATGTTATCATACCTTTTTCAATATCTGTCTGTTCAGAGTTACTAAAATTGCATTTAATTTTTTGATGTGTACTTAATAAGAAGTTATCTAGCAAATATAGTCATTTTTGTGAAAAATGATTCTAATAATTGTTTTAGTCAGTTTATTATCTACAATTTTAAAGTTTGGCTTTTAAGTAAAAATATAATACAATTGAAGACAGTTTTCAGGTAAATGGCATTGGATTGTGATTCAGTAACAACACAACTTTAAATCCATGTGGCGTTTTGATCTTTTTATCGGCTATGATTGCTACAAGTTTTCTCGATTTTTGTTAATCCCCATTTTTTTTATACATTATTATTAAAACACACGAAATTCAATTCTTCCATTCATTAGCCACTTTTAGATGCAGCGATACCACTTTTTTCGATTAACTTATTCACGCTTATTACTACTGATATTCACATGGTCTTTTTAAAATCCTGATGTTTTCATATGATATTACTAAAAAACGCAAAATTTGAATTACACATTTGAGTAATTATTTTTTGTATGCTCAATTTGTGCTAAATCCAGGTGGCTTTTCGATCGGTGCTTTTTAACAATTATTGCTGTTGATTTTCCTAAGATTTTTTTGAAATCCTGATATTGTTAAATATGGAAAATTCAAATCACGTACCTGAGTGTTTATTATGTGATGCAATAATTCTGTTGTTTTTTCCCAATAAATTTTTCGGTAGTTATCACTAACATTCGCATATTTTTTTAAATTCTCAACATTTTTATTACAATATTGTTTATAACAATATATGAATCTTGAAACATACATTTAATGATCTCCTTTTTGACGCATTCAATTCAGGTGATTCCGTTGCAAACAGATTAAGTTTTATCATTAATCTTTTTTCAGTTATCGCCATGAATTTCATGTTTTTTAAAATCCTCTTCTTTCTTTCTTTTTTTTAAATTTTTGCTGCAATAACAACTTCTAAAGTAAGGAATACACAATTTTTTTACAATAAATATATTCTTTTATGTGTTGATAAGAAAAGAATTATTAAATTAAAAAAAATTTCTTCCTTTAAGTTTCATGAATGTTACTTCGTGCATAAAAATGACAGCCTTTCTTGTATCTTCTACATACAAAAAAAAAATTAAGTATTAAAAAAATTAACATGTTGCTGAAAAATTTTCTGGTAATTTCTTCTTTCAGCAATCATATGTCTAGAATAAATATTTTTTCTTAATGAATTTTGTTTTTTGTACATAACTTTTTTTGTTTCATTTAGCTTTGATTTTAAGCTATGTAATTTTATAGAAACACATTTCAATTGCATAATAGTTATAAACAAAATAAACATGAAAAGTTGTAATTCGGTGATGTAGTTTCACATACCACCCAGATTGATCATTCAACTTACCTGACGAAACAAATAAAAAATAATTGAATCTTGAAGAATGTGAAATTAATTCCTTTTTTGATTAAATAGATGTAATCTAGCTGACATCACTGATGCAATCCATTAAATATTGTATACAATTATTGTATATTGGTATTAAATATTGTATATTGGAAAAAAATTGTATACAGTTCATAATTATAGCTAAACTTATGAGAAAAATTAATTTTTCAAATGTCCTTCCTGAACAAACTAAAAAAAAAATTTTAAAAGCTAGCTGCTGTTCATATTTCAAGATGACCGCTTAATTGGTTCAGGAGTTATAAGAGACATGCAAATAAGATCTTTATTTTATTACTATAGACATACAAACCTTCCTTTTGACTGCAGAATTTTAGTGTACAAAATATTTCAGTAATGTTTTCTTAGTGTAAAAAAAAAATTTAATGAACTTTGCACTGAATGTTTTGTGCGTGTTGTTTTGCAGGTCAGCCATCATCCCCCTATGCTTGCCCAACACTGTGAGGGCAGGGGTTGGGAGTGTTGGCAAGAGTTCACCATGTCCAGCAAATTTAGAGGAAAATATCTGCAGATTATTCCACTAGGTATTGCTCACCTTCTTTTCCCTGAATCAGGCAATCACTATACGTGGCGCAAAGTGACGACCTTCGTGCACAATATTATTGTTGGGCGCCTGTGGGTGGACCATCACGGTGAGATGGAGATAGTGAACCACTCTACGGAAGATAAGTGTCACCTTAGATTCATTCCCTACAGCTATTTCTCTAGAGAAGTTCCTCGAAAGGTAAGTAGTTTTTCTTAGTTCATTTTACTTTAAGAAAGCCACTATAGGTGAGAGGCATGCACATGCCTGCCAAGTCTCCCGTTTTTTTTTTTACAAAAACTCCTGTATTTTACGATTATCTCCTGTTTACCTGTATATTCTCAAATTTCTCCGTATTTCTTGAAGAAATTTTTAAAAAAAATTTGGCTATAAAGCATCCGCTAATGCCAAAAATATTTCTCTTATTCCTCAACAGATGGTACTATTCCCTGTACTGCAGTATGTTGAGTGCTTGTAGTTTGAGTAATTATAAATAATGATATTAAAAAATCTTTACATTAAGATTTATATACATATTTTTTTATTTCGCTAAATGTAAGTGCTTATATTATTTCCAATTTTGAATTTCACTTTTTGACTTACATTATTATGCATGATGTATCAAAACTCCCTATACTTGATGCACAATGCCCAATTATATATGATGTATCCATAATCCGAAAAATGTCCCTAGTAAAACCTCTGTTATTTTACTTCTTCGATATTGGCAGGTAGGTACGCATTATAAAGTTTCCAGACACTTTTTTTTTGTATATTATATTAAGCAGTTGTCATGTTAGCTAAATAAAAATGAACCTTAATATGAAAGTTATCAAGAATTAATGTTATAAAAAAATTAACATTGCAGTTCCTCGAGTGTAAAAATGCTTAAGGAACTTATTAATACAGTTAGGAGTATTAACTATAAAGAGGTGTAACTATCGAGCATGTCAAACTTCATCTATCAGAAGGTACCTCAAGGTAGAAGTGAGTTAGCATGTCTTATATACTACTGAATTGGTATTTATTATTATTAGTGGTAGTTAAGCCACAACTACACCACTCTCTATAATTTGTTGTGAAGACGGAACTGAGCTAGTCAAATATGATCAGTATCAGCCGTGCTCGTGTAGATTAAAGAAATAGCTGTCTGTTAGTGGTTTAGTGAATTTATTATCTCTTTGATGTAATAGCTTTAAAAATGAGCTTACTTTAGAATCATTTTATTAAAACTTTTTCTAAATTTATATTCTTCTTAAATTATATTTGAAATCAATGTTTAGTTTGAAATTTTACTGTAATCTAAAATTTTAAAAGCAATGGAAAAATAAAAATTTTATTCTGAAAGAATACTTTGTGCTATGTAGACTGAAGAAAAATAAAACTTGAATGAAGCACAACAAAAAGTACATTTTATTTATGTTTTATTTCATTTGTGTTTTATTCATGTTTTTGCTTTAGATAAATTTTAGTATTATTTTAATTTCTCTCCTTTTTTTTCTAATTTATGCTGTTACCCATGTCTTTATTCTGAAATATCAATCTATACAAATCAAGCAACCCAATATTTCACAAAAGGAACAATAAACACAAAGAATTCAGTAAACAAGCAAATAAAACATTTACAAACAAGATAAGCATTAACTATAAAAAGGGAAGGAGTCTAAGCAAGTTCTAGTATTTTTTTTTCTCCAATTGTTTTAAATAACTTTGTTTATTCAAAATAATGTAATTAAATGATAGTATTCTTAGCATGCTATTTTATCTAAGGATTATTCTCACTGGATGATTATTCTCACTTAAGGATTATTCTCACGTGATTAGTGGAAAATATTTACTACAAAAAACTATCTAATCAGATTCTCGTTCTTCTGTAAGAATAATAAGAGAATAATCTTATGGAATGAATTTCTTTTCAAAGTTATAAAAAGTTCAGAGTTTTTGGTACTCATTCAAGATTTTTGGAGATTTAAATAATTATTGCATTGTCATGAAGAAAAAAAAACTATATAGTTAATTAATTGTATTATCATATATCATTTTTAATAACTCAATGCAATAAATATGAATTAAAAGCAAAAAACTAACCTAATACTCTTCTTGTGGACTCAATTCCATTAATATTTATTTCTAGTTTGTTTTTTAAATTAAGTTTTCAGAAAAAAAAAAACATTTTCTTTAATGAAGAATTTAACAAATATTTTCTGTTTAAATAAAAACAATTATTATTATTTTTAAAAACATTGTTAGTTTTCATAATTAGTGCAAAGTTATCAAATGATGATGTCACACCCCATAAAAGAATTTCTCTACACTTCAAAATCTGCTTGTGTAAACAAAATTTGTATTATTGAATCGGAATGTTCTTTATTTTGTTTTTTCTGCCTCCCACATTTTGAGATGCTGGGCCAAGTTAAATTAAGATAATTTTTTTTAAAAATTTAAATTTATAGATCTGGGATAAAATATTATTAATGAGAGGATTAGTAAAAAGCAGCGGTATGAATGACTCCAAGAAAAAAATAAGTGGGGTAATTCAGCAGTCAGTGTAAAAAGACAGGTGTTAGGTGTTATTTTTAATTAGTGTAAAAAGACAGATGTCAGAAAAGAAGATGTTAGGTGTTGTTTTTATTTCCTGTAAAAAACAAACTAACCAAATGAAGAAAAATAAATGTTTTTTTAGGAAAAATAATCATCATTGATATAATATGTGGGCCATTTTTATGAAAAGTGAGTGATGAATTTCTGAAAAATTTTGCTGTATAATGCTAGACCATGTTAATTGTTCAAAAAAAAAGTTCAGTCTTAAAATTTTGTTAGAGGGGCACCCTTGTTTATGTGACAAAAAATTCTATAAAACACTAATCCTCGTTTTTCAAATTAGCGTAATAAAATTGTTAGGAAAAAATTGTAATTGCATATGCAATGTCATTTAAAGGTTACTGGTGTTGTGACAGACAAAGATGGCAACGCAAAGTTTGTACTCCAGGGCACTTGGGACAACAAGATGGAATGTGCACGTGTCTTAAGTACTCAGGGATCTGTGAAAGGCAAACCTCTCTTGGAAACTTCTACTCCCAAAACTATATGGCGTAGGCAATATCCACCGTGAGTATTCCTTCCAACAACCTTTGTATATTTTTCTTGTATATTTCCCCTTGCACTACGCTGAAATTCGGAACAAGCCGTGAACTTATGCACCCGAATATTCGCAAAAGAGCCTAAGTGGCTGATATCTTATGCAAATGCATATGTTAACTTAGTTTTCAAATGTTATCTGGACTACAACAATGTATCCTAAGTAGAATGTAAACTACATTAGGAGGCGATATATAAAATACCTATTCATATAAAGAAGAGATAAGAGGCCATTCAGACTTTCCTGTTTAACCCGAGATTAAGACCATAAGTATGGCTTGTGATATTTGTGTTTTGTCTGAAATGTTGATTACGAGCCTGACTCGTGATATTCAGGTTTGGCTTAAAATTTTCATCTTTAGTCAGACTCGCGAAAATGGTGCAAGAGGTTAAAGAGAAATGTCTAATTGTACTAAAATTGTGTTTTATAAGTTTTATAATATGTTTTAATTTAACTTTTAAAATCTTCACAATTGTATGTTATACATTAAATTCTAAAGATAACCAAATTGAATAATGAAATATTGTAATTAAATTTTTCTTAATGTTTTTTTTTCCCCCTCCTCAACTGATTGCTGAATGCAAAAAGCATTCAACTTTATGTTCAGCTCATGAAAGTTTGAACCGTGACTGACTCATGATAATATAACAAATAAAACTAAACTCAGTGGCACAGCAGCCCGTAGAGAGCCAAGGCCTACTGTACCTATCTCAATTTTCATGACCTTGGACTCTTGGGTGCAGGAGCAGATGTTCCGGTTGGGTGGTTAACCGAACACGGAATCCCCAATGTTTAATCCCCACGCATGCTTTGTATTAGAGCATTAAAGTGAAACTGTAATCGTAATATTTATTACAAACTATGTCTTTTTAAAAATTTTCCTTACTTGAGTTTCTATCAAGATTTTTTTTTCAGCTTAAATTTCATTTATTTTTTTCTTGTGATAAAAGGAATTTCCTATTATATATTATCTAAATTATATTGTATAAATATGTTTTTGTTTCTTTAATGGCAGGCACTGAACTCTCGTTCTTTGCCTCAGAATATGCCTGGAACGTTTCTATTTAAAGTTACCCAGTAAGCAGCTGTTAGCTTTACTCGTGGACGCAAGCAACAGTACCCATGCCACTGTACCACAGATACCGTTCATGGGGTGGGCCACATTCATACATCACGCAACAGAAGACACACTCAGAGAGAAGCATCCATGCCCTGAGTGGGATTCGAACCCCTCAACCATTGGCTTCAGAATCTGACACGCTAACCGCTCCGCTTAATTTTATTGGTTGACATCAGTAAGATTCAGAAAAACTCCTAGAATTCTGGTAAATGTTTGTTCAGTGGATCTATATATATATACGCAACTTAAAATTTCTATCACTGTTTAAATTCCTGATTCAGTTTGCAAAGAGAAACATCAACCTTTTTAGTATTTTTGCATATAATAACATTTAAAAAACAATTTTTTCATGAGATTAAAGTTTGTCAAACAAAAAATTATGTCTGAACTCGGTTCTGGAATTTAACTATGTTCATGCATTTTTAAATTTATGGAATACTTTTGTCTATATCCCCTCCTCGTCTCTCTATAACAAAATAATGCAAAAAGATTTTATTTTCAAGAATATCGAAATGAAGCCTGGAGTATTTGGAGAATATTTTAAGGCCAATCAAGGAACTGTATGTTTCTGATTCTACTGTATTATTTTTATACTTGTTATGTGTTCTAAAAATGAAATGGTCCAATTCATTGTTTACTGTTGCATGCCCTTAACAAACTGTGATCACAAATATTTATATTGTTTTCAGGCCTGAATATGAAAAAATCTACAATTTTACAATTCTCGCTTGCCAACTGAACGAACCCGAGGATGGGGTGGCACCCACGGACAGTCGCATCCGACCGGATCAGCGGCTAATGGAAGAGGGTGCGTGGGATCAAGCCAATGAAGTAAAAGTGCAGTTAGAAGAGAAGCAGAGGACCGTTCGTAGGAAGAGGGAGGAGGAAGCCGAGAAAGCGGCGGCTGAAGGTCAGTGGTGCATCTCTTTCCTTACTAAGCCCAGGATTTTACCTCTTACTATACATACTTTTAGAGTCATCAGATTGCATATAAATGGGGGAGAAACTTCTTAATTATGATCCATTGAGGAGAACAAATAAGGGCCGTTCCGAGTCAAATCAGCCAGCCAATGTTCAATTTGTAAACAAAATTGTTTTATTAAACTTGTTGAGTGTGTTCTTTACGTTAATATAAGAACATCTATAAAATTTTATTTAATTATACCAATTATTCTATGAAATGCAGCTTTTTAAAGTTTTTTCAAAATAAGTAAAAGGCGATGACTTGCTTTTTTATGAAACTTGCTGAGTGTGCTCTTTGCATGAATATAACAGGGGTGATTGTGCTCCGGAAAAAATCCGGATTTTTTGCTAACTGCGATCCGAAAGTTTCGGGAAATCCAAAGTCCAGAAGTTTCTAGAAATCATCGATCAGATTTATATATAAAAATTCTTCTATATTTTATTTAAAAATATTAGAACTAGAATTTATACTTGGCATCTCTTTCATCTGTAAATATTTTTTTCTGGTAGAATAATAAATGTGATTAGAGATAAAAGTAAACTTACACATAATTATTCATTTAAATTATGCTGCATACAATTTATTTAGAACTTCATGTTGTGAAAATTTCAATGATTTAAATTTATAAAGATATTAATTTTTTGAATGATTTTACTCAAGAAATTTTCAGGATTTTTGAGTTGAACCCACAATTACCCCTGATATAAGAACAACTATAAAAATTCATTTAATTATACCAATTATTCTATAAAATACAGCTTTTTAAAGTTTTGTCAAAATAGGTAAAAAGCAATCAATTGCTTTATTCAAACTTACATCTGGTGTAATTTTTGCTATGAAATAGTCATTTTTAAAAATAAAGTGTTAAATTTTTTTGCAACGTGTTCATAATAAATTATGCATTCGAGTATATTGTCGCTTATTATATTTAAGGCAATTAGCTTGAAAAAGTATGATACAGAAAAATTGTGTGTAATGAACAACATTGTTTTGCCTTCGGAAACTGCCCAGTAACATTTGTCTACTTCCAAATCCATTTTAAATTACTATAATACCAAAAACTAGATTTAAAGAAATGATACATTAAAACTAATGAGGTTTGGACTCTTCACTAAATTTCATAGCCTATCAAAAGCCTAAAGTTGTAAGCCCATCAAAATTGCACCACATATAAGCTCTTAAATAAACTGTGCATTGTCTTATTTCTAAGTAAAACTGCTCGGTTTTTTAATATTTATGACTTCTTGTGATGCTATTGCATCAAGTGTAATGTCTTGAACTACTTTGACAACACATTAGAATAAAATTATATGTTAAATTGTACAGTTTATATCTATTATTTAATTACCAATTTTTAAATTAAATAAATTTCATTATTTAAAAATCTAGAATAAAAATTTAAAATTATTTACACAATTTTTACATTTAAAAAAATGAGAGCAGTAGGATAGAAACTTAAGTTCAATGATTGAGTTGATGTTCAATGAAAATTGTTTAATTTGTGTAGATCTTTTTGGTTAAAAACTAAACAATGACCCAAATTGATGCAGTTAAAATAAATTTAATTTATATTGTTATTACGAATAAATTTTTTCCTACAAGAAAATAAAAAAATTTTAAAAAACTATTGTAGCCATTTTAATCTATAATACTGATATTATTGTTGCTATTAATTGTTATGACCATAGAATACACAGTTTAAAATATTTTTAATAAATATTTTTTTTTTCCTTTTTTTTTTTGGTGCTTGATTTGTTAGGGCAAAATAATTTCCTGGACGCTATCCATTTATGCTGGCTCTTTATCTTTATTTTCATATTTTTTTGCCACTCCTTAAGAAATTTGACCATCATCATTTATCTAATTCTTTTTTTTTCTTCTTTTTTTATGTTAAAAAAACTTAGCACATTGTTAAAATCTTGTTCTCTTTGTCACAACTGTGTATTACATAATTGAGTTGCTTGTATACTGACAATAAAAACTGCTTTATTCTCAAGGTCGACCTTACGAGACCTACGATCCTATCTGGTTCAGAAAGGAGACTGATCCGATAACAGGCAACCCTGTGCACAAGTTTACAGGAGATTACTGGAAGTGTAAAGAAAGTCAAGATTGGTCTAGATGTCCTAACATATTCCTGTGATATTACTGCGAGGTATCTTTCTCTCTAGAATTAAAAAAAAAAAATTAAGTATTGTACCTATAGGAATATTAAAAGAATGTTGTATACAGTAAGTACTACTATGAAACAAACAAACAAAAAATGACTGGTTCATTGAGTGTGTATATAACCCCGTATCTTGCAAAAGCCAAAACATCTTTTTTCTAGCCCACGTTCAAATAGTGAATGTTTTTGCATGGGAAAGTGCTTTAAATATTTGGCCTTTTCATATAATACTGTTAAAATGCTGTTCTATTTTTTCTTCTGTTTTTTTTTTAGTAAACCTTATGTAGTAACAGGGTTGCTGCTCCACGGGGAAAACCTGGAAATAACAGGGAAAATGCAGGGAATTTTGATTTTTTTTTCCCCTTACAAACTGGGAAAATACAGGGAATTTTGTTTCTTATTTTTGTCATTTGAAATATGATGACCACTCAAAGCATGTTCAGCTGTTTTTCCAGCAATTAAAACTAATAAATATAGTTAGCCCAATATAGCTCACACAAGAGCACAGTAATTGTTGTTTCCTCTTAATATATTGTGTATAATATGTACAGGAAAAACATTGGGAATTTTTTTTTTTACAGATTTGAGTGGCAACCCTGAGTAAGATTTCTATAGCTGATTTGTATAATCTATCAAAAGAAAGATGATTTATCTTTCCTGCAGTCTTTGATGCCCTAATGTTTTATTGCTGTATAAATTTTATTCTTCTAATGATTCAGCTATAGATACAGAATGTTGGATTTATTTTAGATGTGTACCTTATGATGTTAAGTTTTATCTTTTGCATAGCAGATTTATTAGCTAGTATTTATACACAAAACAAATATATTTATTATTTTTTTGGGGGTTCAACACTGGGATGCCAACTACTACCGAGTTTTTTTTTACCTCCGCAGATTTGGATTCTGGAGGCAGAAATATGGAATGGCTTTTGAAACTTCGCGTCAATGGCTGCTTAATTTTCATCAATTTGTGCCTTATTTTTTAATGTTTTAAAATTTGAGAACAAACCCCCTTCTTTTATATACCATATTATTTGTTTATAACTTATACAAAAAAGTGTTAAGAAGCAAAACTTAATTTTTCCTTACATACTTTTTGTTTCTTAAACTGTTCTATTTTTACTTGCTGTTATAACAGTGTTGATAACATTGATGTTTAAAGTTCTATTTTTTCTCTCAATTCATTTGTGTGCAAATTTTGTTTCGCTGTTTAAAAAATTGTAACCCGTAGAAGGTTCCAAACAAATTACTATTAGTGCGCAAAATTATCAGGAAAATTCCGGGACTAAAGTTGGCATCTTTGGGAATAAATAGTACAGATTCAACTCATGGAACTGTTTCAACTGTGATTATGTCTCAACGTCATAAATAGCTCATGTAGTACATAAATATACTTATTACAAATAACTTACAAACTTATAAATAAAATATAACAGAATTGTAGTTCTGAGTATTCATATTTTGTAAAAAAATGATTTTTTTTTCGTGATGATGATGGACTAGAAAATGTTGGTGATCTAAATATTTATGTTTAAATAAATAAAAATATTTTATTTATTGTTTGTTATTACTGATTCATCTCTATTTTGAATTTAATTAGATGTCTGCTGATCGCAATTGTAAACTTTAAATGTCTTTATTGGAAAAAAATAATCTGTGGCTTATTATTTATCAGGAAGTTCTGGCAACTTACTTGAATTAAATTTTATTCTATGAAAATTAGATTGTTCTGTAAGTTCTTAACAGTTATTCCTTTTTAAAAATTATGTCAAAGCTGAATAAAATTGTGCAGATAAAAATTCTATTATCTATTTGCATTTTTATTTATATTAAATTATATTTAGAAAAATGTAGTTTTGGTATATTTTAGTGACTTTCTTAACAGAATAAGAAAATAGTGAGTCAAAAGAATGCCCACTACAAAACATTTTCCAAATTTAGTTTTTCCTGGGAAATTACAAAAGGCTTTTTAAATTAAAGGGAAAGTTAGTTACTACTTATTTTCACTTTTCATGCATCTTTTTTCTAATTGCACAATTTCTTAATTTTGACCTTTTTTTTTTGCAATTTGTATACAAGTCTAGATTTTTTTCGAGTAAACTAACTTGTTATTGTATTTGAAGCAGTCAAACTCTACTTGTTGCTCTATATGCAATTAAATATAATGAAGTTTACCTTATTGTTTAGGGGAAAAAATGTATATTCTATCATGAAATGTTACATTTAGTATTTTACTATTGCTGCAAAATCTTTTCTCTATTGTTGTGGAAAAATAGCTCACAAACTATAGAATCCAAGAAGTTAGTTTTTCTAAATGTTTCTTTGCTTTAGCTTTTTATTAATAATTAATTCATTAAATGTAAAATTATACTTATATATGTTATCGCTAAAACTCGAAATTTGTTGCCAATTTATACATTATGTAGCAAATCTACAGATAAATTTATTTGCTCAGTTAAAGTAAGGAATTAAGAGTTTCCATATTTTACTCAGGTAATGTATACCTTAAAGGCTTCCGTAACCCTTAAGTTAAACAGTTAGTCTTTCTCATTCCATCAACATATCTGCTGATAGTTTTGACTTAAACCTTCGTTAATCATAAAATAAATTAATGACATTTTATTATTTTCTTTAATTGCAATAATATTTTTAACCTGTTTATTCCTGTTTATTTTATTTTTTTTTTTTTATAGTTAGTGAACCATAAATAACATCATGTTAATTATAGCTTACAGAAACGCTGCTGTTTTTCCAGCAAAGATCTTATTTTCACTTTAACAAGTACTTAGTGGATAATGTGCTGTGCACATTACCCACTATCTAGGTAATATTCAAATAATTTAAGTAATTGAAGAAAAAATTTTTGACAGTAGCAAATATATATACCATCAGTTAAAGAATCAGGGAAATGTAATAACATTCTGAAAAAATAAATTTTTTTTTCCTAGTATTTGTGGCCACCCTGTTTAATTTTTAAAAGGCAGCAAATAAAATGTGTGGTTGTTTTCTTAGCATTCACAGTATTGATACTGGCCTCATACTCTACTTGATTATTAATTCTCTTTTACTAAGAACTAAAAGCCATTTACTGATTGTCATTGATGATCTTTTTGCTTTTTCAGTTTTTACACATTTTGCATTAGTTTTTTTTTTTTAAATATTACATATTGTTTTGTAAAAAATTTGTAAATAAGATTAAAAAAAAGTGTAAATATTTTAATTTATTTTGCAAAAATATTCCTATATATGTCTTGTGTGTAAAATATCTGCAATAAATAAGAAAATATTTCTCTTCTTTCTTTAAAAACATTGTATTTCGTTTTTTCTTCGTGTAGAAAAATATGCAAATTTAAATATTATTACTTTATATCATGCATTGTACAAGGTATGTAGAAATTTCCTCTGGGGTTATTAAAGCTTATAAAAATATTTTTTTGCGAATACAGCAACATAAACTTATATATTATGGTGTTACATCAAACATTATGTGTTTTTGTCCCCTACGCCACATAATTTTAACAGAATTTTCGTTGAATGATTGCTCACCTTGTAGCATACAAAAAAACTTAAATTCATTTATCCAAGAGGGAAGAAAAAAGAAATTTCATAAAAATGTTCCAAATTCTCATTTTTTTATTTTGTTGAATGTAACTGACTATGTATAATTAAAAAAAAATCACAGATTTTACTTTAAAGAAGAAGAAAAAAAAGCTGTTTATTTTGTTTCTATTGGTGACTGTTTTTTTAATATTGCTCATTTTCTATGAATCCTAACCTGTTTTATTATTAGCAGTAAACTATAAAATAATTGTGCAGAGGATGAAATTATAAAGGTTTTTAATTAATAATCTATTATTAATATAGTTATATAATTTTATACAACTTAATAATTTTAGCAAATAAAATGTTTTCTTTTTTCTGTAGAAAAAAAAAGATAATACAAAAATATTTTTTGCTTTTGCATTTACCAATTTCAAAATAAGTGATATATTAAGATAAATTTCTCATCAAAAATTTTTAACATTTGCTTAAATGTAATATCAAAACTTTTTTTTTAAACTTCAAAAATTAATAAAAAATAACAGCTTTAAATTAAACATTAAAGATTTTTACTACTTTTCATTTTTATTGTGTCTGCTTTCATAACTTTTCTGCAGTAATGTAGTATAAATTATATTTTTAATTCATATGTAAATTTCATTTATTCATTTTAAATTTATAGGGGTTTCCTATACTCAATTGAGATAACAGAACTATTGAAAACAATAACAACTATAATGTTAACTTTTTTGCATGATATATAGTAATACTTTGAATAAATCTGTTTAAAATAATAAAACTTAGCATTGTCATATAAAAGCAAAATAATCACATTAAATTTAAAAATATTTAACTTACCATTTTACATTTCTTAGAGTTTTAATGTTGCAACAAACTGTAACTTAAACAGGAAGACTTCTTTTTTACACAATTAAAATGGAGTGATCTTTTATGTTCATTTAAATAATAATAATAATGACTATTTTATTATAATATCTTTTTTAAAATTATCTTGTAGGCAAATTATTGGTATTTTTCTTTTAAAAAAAATGTGTATTAATGATGGTTAGCCCTTTTTTTTTAATAAAAATATAAACATAAATTAATTGCAATATCGCAAATTTGCATTTCCATGATATTCCACTCTTCCAACCTTCGTGAATTTTGTTGCCATTCCCAATATTTAAAAAAATTATTTCATTAAGGGTTTTTCAACTAAAAATATGTTACATTTTTTCCTATGAAAAACATTTTTGTATAAGTTTACTGAGCATTTATTAGTTAAATGTTTTATAAATTTAAACAATTCAACTTTTTTTCTCCATAAAATGTAATTTTTGTAATTATTATTTTGTCCCTGAACTTGCTGTGTCAATTGAGGTCTCTTGAAATTTTGTTATTGCGAGATGACTCAATTCACTTGTTGTCAACTATGCATTTGTTATGTGAATAATTCAAATTGAATTTTGTACTTGAGGGGGCTTAATAATTGGATTAGAATTGCCATCTTTTTGTCAATGTTTATTCCACAACTTTTGTCAGTGTGTTACACCTGCATGATATTCACTATATGCACTTACTGGGAACAAGTGCCGAACACTTTAGATTGCTGTATTTTTTTACAAATGTTGTGAAACACTTTACTTAATACAGTAGCCTCTCATTAATGTTGCCTCCCTTTAAGTCAGTTTTCTCATTTATGCGGCTGCATTTGAGTAATGGGCCTCTGTTTAAGTCTGTTCTCTGGTTAATGCGGCTACATTTGAGTAATGGGCCTCTGTTTAAGTCTGTTCTCTGGTTAATGCGGCTACATTTAACTTAAGCCTCTTGCAGTTTTTTTTCCCTGGTTTAATGTTAAATATTTTTTCTCAAATTAGTTCCTTTCATTTATACATATTTAGTAAAAAAAAAAACTGATCAATAAAAGAACACCGTGTAAAAAATAAATAAAATAGTCTACAACTTCACCTTAGTGTTCATTTAATAATTTCTCAATTTATTTCATGATAGGTTTATTATTTCTAATTATATTTTTTCAAATGTAAATGACTTAACTTATATTTTAAATCTTTTTTTTTTTTTAGTGAAAGTTAACGGTTAAACAGTTACAGACTTTCGTAAAAAAAAGTCTGTAACTGTTTAAACATGTTTTCCTTAAGTTCATTTTAAATTTTTGTGGTTGATTTTATACTGCTTTAATTTATGAGCTGAGTTAATTTAAGAATGTATTTTCAAAAAGTGATTTTATGATATAACTTAGGAAGAATATGCCCTACACTCTGATATAATTATCATTATCAAAAGAATTAATTATCCATTATCAATAGCTATTGAAGGAGTAAAGATAAAAAAAAAAATTTAGGAATTGGTGTACCTCATTCCAAAGATAGATGCAATATTCATTCAGGAATTTGAACAAAAACCTTAATCGAGGAAGTGGATCGAAATTGATTTTCGAATCAACTTGTAGAATAATGTTATATATTACTAAATTAAAGTAAATTTAATGAACTATTTTCTTTAATGTTTTTAATGCCTGTTGTATTGATTTATTTTGTTTTCCAAAATGACTTAATTTCTCCCCTCAGAAAGGTCTGTTGTGGTTACATGAATTTTTTTTTTTTTTTTTTTTTTTTTTTTTTTTTTTTTTTTTNTTTTTTTTTTTTTTTTTTTTTTTTTTTTTGCAAATAAGGAGCTATTTTCATAACTGCTGTGAATTTGTAACACAGTTCTGTCTCTTTTTAGTCAAATTTCGAAAAATGGGCAAACTGTCAATACAAAGAAGAGCCACAGTTTTGTGAAAATGCAAAGCATTTGTGATCTTTTTTTATTTATTTATATATATATATTTAGAGAGGCTGCATTGTTCATAAAACTGATTTCAACTATAGGTAGAAATATCTCACCAATTTATTTCAACTATAGGTGGAAATATCTCGCCAAATTGGCGTTTTTTGAAAAATATGTTTAATAACTTTTAAAATATTTATTTGTCTGCTCTAAAGTTAAGATAATTCTTTACTTCAAGATGGTACATAATAGTTTTGCTTCAAGCATGTGACACTTAAACTATGGCCTTTTTTATTTAATTTGAAGGAGCTTTGAAAGACACTACCTATTTAACTGTCAATTAAATTATAACTCAAAGATCAACGTTTACTGGGGACAAACTGTTAATTTTGTTTAAACTTGTAGACTAACGAGAAATTGATGAGAGGCTACTTTATTTGAAAATAAAGTTTCCAGCTTTTTGAGTCTTTTT